AACACTGTTGGGAATCCCTTTAAATAATTTTCTCCTGGAAACATTTTAACATTCATTAAATTGTAATTAATTCGTTAATTTAGGGCTTTTCAAATTAAAATGATCTAATCGTCTAATCGTTCGCCTTTTCAAATTAAAGGCTTTCTGACAACCACACGAAACCAAATGTTTTGTCAGTGCAAATGAAGGATTCATTCATGGTATTTTAAGGTAAGCTTTGTGATGAACTTCAGTTAAGAGTTCACTGTATAGAGAAAAGCATTATGTGCCCGATTTAATCCAAAAAGAAAAGCGTATATGTGTATAACTGAAGGCCTTCATTTATATCAGAGGCGCTTTATCAGATATCAGCCATTACATTAACAAACCTATTGTATGTTAGTCTTAATGGAGAGTGGTTGAGAACAGGAAAAGAGAGAGAGAGAGAGAGAGAGAGAGAGAGAAAGAAAGAGAGAGAGACCTCATCACCACTGTGTAAAACAAAGTAATCTTCCCATCCCCCTTCACAGCTCTACGCCACTCTGCTGCGGGCTCACACGTGTAAAGGCAGTTGTCAGCGCTGAGCAGCTTCAGCAAACTACTAAATCACTCCCACATTATCACTGAAGCTGCAATAAGGCAGATCTACATTTTCCATGGTAGATGAGTGGGATACGGCTTGTACCACGCACCAGAAATGCGAGGGGTGCAGACAGCATCACTGGACAGATTCTTCTTCCAACTGAAATTAAATGCGTCTCATCTTTCCGTGAAAATAATATTTATTAAGCCAATTAAATAAATAAAGTCATTTTATTGACTTTATTTTCTTTGTAAGAGTGAGAAGTCATGTGTGTGCATTAAGTATGGAGCCTCTGGTCGTGTTTAGATTAGCTTAGCGTATAGGCCACATGCGAGGGGACGCAGCTCGCTCCTTCTGTTCCTAAATGTAGTCTAACCTGTTCATGGAGAGAACGAGGAGTTACATGCTCACACTTGACAAACAGTTTACATCCATCCAGTATAGCATCCCCAGATACAATGCAGATTGCCAGATACCGTCAATGAGCACAGGTTCTGGTTTTGGTTTCTGTGCGGACAAGATGGGACCAAACAGATGACAAAACTTTGAGAGGTTGTGCACAATCACAACAACCGGCCAGGAAGTAGTTCCGGCATTTTATGTATGTGAAGCAAATGAGGAAAACAAGTTAATGAGTGAGCTTTAGAGTTGTTGGTAGGTTCGTGTTTTTACTTTGGACAGAGTGAGGCTCGCTACTTCCCTGTGCCTTCCAGTCTTTATGCTAAGCTAACCACATCCTGTAATCATTTCAATATTGTGGCTTTTAATTTTAGTGTTCCAGTATGCTATAAAAGCTGTCCACACAAAGTTAAAATTCACAACAAAAAACAATGCTATGGTTTGGGTTTGGAAAATATCATGGTGCGACTTAAAATAAGTGCTTTGCTAAGGCTCGAAAACATCATGATTTGGTTGAAACCACTATATCCTTGAGACTAAGTGACCTTCATAATGGCTACAAAAACAACCACTTGGTTAATGTCTTCCTTTGCTCTCGACAGATGAGTCATACTTCAGCTGAAGAATACGATGTTGTTTTCCTTGAGAGGAAAGTCTTGCGTATCAGCCGTGTCAGCAAATGTAATGGATTCTGTAAAAGCCTTCAATAATTTTGAATTGTCTTCCGCCCATCCATGTTCTACTTAATGTCATATTAAAAGACAACAAGACAGCAACCAACTCCCCTACAGCTACACGACACTCTAATCACGCACGGTAAAATATAATAAAATAGATTAACATATGTAAAAATGGTTGGAAATAAGTTGTTTGTACATTAGTCACAGATACGAGATTGGGAGCACTCCGATTGCCTCCCGACGGCATGGCGACACCTGACGGCGTTTATTGCACCTTTTAAGAAGTGTTATCAATGTTGCATTCACAACTCGTCTCTGCTGCCCCCCAATTGGCCAAAGAAATCAGGTTTCAGTAATAGTTCAACGTTTAGAGAAATATGCTTCTTCACTTTTCTTTGAGAGGAATGAGATGAGAAAACTGATATCAATCTTAGACATAAGAGTGGTATCGATCGTCTCTTCCAACTCGCAGAAAGAAAACAAATAAGCATATTTCCCAAAATGCTGAACTATGTCTTTAAAGACGTAAAACAAAAAAGAGCACCGGTCAGCAAACACATCTGGCCTGTAAGAGTATATGTTATGTAAATGAAGGAAGAACAGTCAGTTTAATCTCAATCAGACTGACCTGCCGCCTTGCCTGCTGCTTCTGTTACATGTTTAATAGGAGGAAATGGCTTGTGGTGAGGAGAGCATCCAGCCCTTCTGTGGGAGTTTAATTCAATCACAGCTCTGGTCAAAAATGAATTAAAAACTCTCATTAAGGCCCCCCCCCCCCCGTGTTCCAGAGACTAAGTTGGCTGCTCAGGCTCACAAGCAGATATTTGGGTGTTACATGGAAGCATCAGCCAGCCTTGCAGTTATCCGTCTGTGAGTCAGCCATCAGTCACTAACTCCATCATTTTGTTATTTAAATTTGCAGTGCTTGGCGCTCACCCACTCACAGTGAGCCCAGCGAACCCGGTTGCAGATGATCTAAACGACAGTCGGCTGCGTGGACGTCTTGTTGTTTCAATCCGAACAAGTCACAGTTTGACGAAATTGAGACAGCAAGTGCTCCCTCCCTGGACTTCATATCTCACTGAGCACAATGAGGATAATACACTGCGATCCACATCACAAGATCACTGACCTTTCCACGGTACACTGTAACTAACCACTTTAGACTGTGGCTGTTTATTACACGGAGCAGAGCAGCAGAAAGTGTTGTTTTGTGTCAGGCAGAGAAAGGGGAACCTGTGTGTTGTAAACCCACAGGAAAACATCTCTGTGCCTCCGAGCACTTAAGTGTTCCTACTGCGGGATCAATTCAGCCGCGCTTTGTCGCTTCTGAGCAGCAGCTTATATTATCACTGGAGTCACACTGATGCACTGTTACATCTATTGTTGCGTCTATTCTCAGAACATTCATGTATTCTAGTTATTCTTTGTGGATTTATGGAAATATATTAAATGTGAAAGATGCGTGCTATCTTGTTTGTCTGCCACTTGGAAATGAGATATGAACAATGCAAGGAGCTCCAAGCAGAAAACTGTAATGCTGAAAAGAAACACCTTGTGTACGATCTGTAAACAGCTGGCTAAAGGCCTTTGTACATCAGGGAAATGCAACTTTTTTTTGGTCTCCAGTCAAACATGAGCCTTCAAACGTGAAACATGAGCTCCCCCTGCTGATTCAAAGATGGAAAGTGTGCTGCCTTCAGGTGCTCATGAAAAGTCATAAAGCATAAGGGAATTGTTGTGATAGCCAGGATACATGTAGACGGTGGTAGAAAGTAAATAAGTACTGTAGCTACTGTAGTTTTTAGGTACTTGCACTTAACATGTGCATAGGCGTATCCATGTTATGCTATTCTTCTAACCCACTGCAAGTCAGAAGCAAATACTGTGTTTTTTACCTCTCTACACTTTTTTTCGACAGTAGTTATGAGTCACGAAAAAGTGAGTCATTAAAAAGTGAGGTGCTCTTTAGATAAAACACAAAAGAACATAGAAAAAACACCAAGGTCATCTTTTTTTTTCAACAATTAAAATGCCTCAATTGCAAGTCGTGTTTCCTTGAGATTTTTGTGTATGACGTTGCTAAAATATCTTCACCTCAACCAGCTACAGCATTAAATTATTCTTTACATGTTAATAATAATCCAGTAATATCACATGTACAATAATATAACTCTGGAAGGGATGTCATTTTTACATTGCAGTATTGCTGCCGAATATAAATCCTGAATACTCTGTATTGCAAACAGTCATGTTTTAGTTAATATAAATCTGCTATGTGGTTATTGCTATATGCCTACAGTCTTGTGCTAATTCTTGCTGAAGCTCTAGCATTAAGAGGTTGGTTGTCCAGGTTTTTGATTTCTTGCATCTATTTTTCGTGATGCTAAAGGAACATAGCTACAAATATTTAGCCAAGACATTTTTTTATAGCAGCTATTGGTTATTGTCACTATATGTAACAAATTGTAGATGTTAAATACTGCAATACCACAGAAGGGTTTGATGATGGCAAACAAATATCAAGATTAAAATAATAATTAAAAAAAACAATAAATCAGAAATAATTCCAAGGCACTCTATAAATGCTATAAATGATAAAATTGTGCTGTTTTATTAAAAAGTGCATATCTACAGATGGGCACCATTTGCGCTAATAAAACAAGCATGTGTCCATTACTCCACCACATAATGGAAACTCTGATATGATTGTGACACACAGCAATATAGTTAATTATTTCTAAGTTGAAGCACTTGAATTTAGCTTTCGTAAAACAATCGCCTCTTTAAGGGGTCCCTGGTCCCAAAATCTACAGTATGTAGGACGCGTTGGCAATATTCTTTTACACTAGACGCCAATAAAGCATATTGAATTGTATTGACTTTAAGATGGTGGAGTACTGGACTAGTTCCAGAAGGGGGCAGCAAAGCAACAGCGATTGCCGACGGCCGTAAAAAACCTACAGACGAAGAAGAAGAAGAATCACACTGTTGGATGCGTGTGAATTGAATTGAATGGTGTACTGCAGCCCTGAGTCGTGGTTCATACACGTGTAGACTCAAGTGGAGGGTAGATGGGTCTTTAGCGAAACAAAAGCTTCGCTATTAGGATCTAAAATTTATTTACGGAAAAAAGTCTTGTGGACTGTTTTCGTCGTCGACGATTTGTTTTGAAGAGTAGCTTTGGCTGAAGAATATTTTGGTGAGTTGAAATTTGATAGAGGTTGTTGGCTAGCTAGCAAACCCTGTTAAATTGAAAGCTAAACACAACAATAAAGTACGACATCCGGTAGCAAAAAGGCACAAAATAAAACTCTGTTCGAAATACCGTGTCAGCAGTGTAATGTGATTACTGATTACATTTCTGTAGTAGTCTCGTGATCCAAAATGCTGCTATAGATGGTCAATTTAAGCTATTTCGCAGTTTTGTTGCTATGCTTTTATTATGAAAGTTGATACAAAACTAACCGCTTTTATTTTGAATTAACTCCCGGGCATTCTGATTACATGGCATTTGGCGGACTTGACGCTGTGAAATGGAAATAGAGAGCACGTTAGCTACTCTTTGTGTTTGCAGACGGTAACTTTAGTCCGTCACGGTGCTTTGTTCAGCTAAAGTTGAATGTGTCTGCTTTCAAACGCAGCCACTAACAAAGGCCTCGGCTTTGTGTGTCTGATAATATTTCTCGTACACAGCTAGCATAAAACTGGCGGTATAAATTTAGTCCCGTTTACTTTGTGCACCGGGGTAACCTGGGCGGGCGGTACACCCCCGTAGTTCTCTGGCATGCAAAAAGGAATCAGGAGGTTCCCACCTGCTCGGTCAACACTGTGTAGTCCAGCGCACAACAACATAAAACACATTATACTTTATATTATGCTTCATGTTGTGAGGAGGATGGAAAACGTGTACCTTTCAGCTTTAAATATAACGTTATGTTGGTGACTTCCGGGTTCTTGTAATATTGCCTTGGTTTTGGGGACCACGTTGTAGAAGTATATCAATAAATTATATAAAATCTAGTGGTCGATTTAACTCAAAAGTGTGCAATACAAAAGATAATACACTTGCGAATAATACTATGTTGTTTGGCTAAAACTATAAACTCAAGATCCACTTACTAGATTGCTTTTGGGTCTTTCGTCCACATTTTGTGGCCTTCATCAGCAGTTATAATTTACCCCCGTACCTGACCATCCATACCACTAGTTCCAATCAACCTCAAAGCTTCCATTATTAAAATGTTGGTTGTTAGTTGTCATTGTAACTGTAGTTTTTTGCTTTGTTTTAAGCTGTTTTTCTAATGTTTTGTATTCTTTCGAGGTATATAGTTGAAACATTTTGTTTTTCTCTCTCTCTCATAAACAGTGAAGCCAGAGTAGAATGATGAAGTACATCCTGGTAACTGGAGGAGTCATCTCGGGCATCGGCAAAGGCATCATTGCGAGCAGCGTGGGCACAATCCTGAAGTCCTGCGGCCTGCATGTAACTGCCATCAAGATCGACCCGTACATCAACATAGATGCAGGCACATTTTCCCCCTACGAGCACGGTACGTCAGAGGAAACGATCATTCTTAATTCAACGCGTTCGGAGTTAAACAGGCGCGCGTTGTGCATGTTTTTACGATTGTGTCGTGCCGAATTTGTCCAGGGGAAGTGTTTGTGCTGGATGACGGGGGTGAGGTGGACTTGGATCTGGGGAACTACGAACGCTTCCTCGACATCCGGCTGACCAGAGACAACAACTTAACCACCGGCAAGATCTATCAGTCGGTCATCAACAAAGAGAGGAGGGGAGACTACCTGGGAAAGACTGTGCAGGGTAAACAACCGTTGTTTCAGTTTGGGTAGATGGTGCCGTGCTGAAGAGAAATTAACAAATACTGTTTTTCTTGTCTTTTCCAGTGGTGCCACACATCACGGATGCCATCCAGGAATGGGTTGTGAAACAGGCCAAAGTGCCAGTTGAGGAAGATAATGTAGAACCTCAAGTTTGTGTAATAGAGGTACGCAGAGCAGCTGATGTGATGACATAATTTGCACCACCAAATGGCTTACATTCCAGATGTTTCGCAAAGGCTGCCGTGGTTGTCACTGCTAACATTTGTCTGCGTGTGTGCAGTTAGGAGGCACCGTTGGAGACATCGAGAGTATGCCGTTCATCGAGGCCTTTAGGCAGTTCCAGTTCAAAGTGAAGAGAGAGAACTTCTGCAACATTCACGTCAGTTTGATACCACAGGTAAGAGAGCAGCGCTTTCAGGTCCGACTGGTTTCTATCTGGGGTGCAGGTGTGTCATGTGCACACACTTATTGAGAAGACGAGTGTGTCTCATCCTCCGACGGTACCAATAGTTACATTGACTAAAAAGATTTCCTACTGAAGACCTTTAAGCCGTGCACTTTGAGTTGTTATCTGATGAATATCGGCACACCTCCTGATTTAAGGAAGTTGATAAAATGCCTTTTTACTCCTCACTTCATAGAGAAGGAGGAGGAGGACCAGTGATGCGAAATTCTGAGCATTTTTGGCAGGTGACGACTGATTTGAAAATGTCCTGCATAGAAATTTCTAGCATTCTAAAGTTTAGTTGTGTGTGTGTGTGTAGTGAGCAAGAACAGAAGAACTCCTCTGACCAGTGAAAGAGAAGTAATTTTGAAGATGACACATTATTGGCGGAATAAACCTTTCCGGAACTCAGTCAACATTTGTCAGTGAAGATAATCGTGAGCGTCAGCCCTGTTTTGTCCACTTGTGTCGTGTACGTTAGATGTTTCAGATGCACACACCTGAGGACCTCTGTACAGTCGGTTTAATGTGTCTGTTGCGATGTCTCCCCTGTTCTGTCCAGCCCAGCGCAACTGGAGAGCAAAAGACCAAACCAACACAGAACAGCGTCCGAGAGCTGAGAGGACTGGGTCTGTCCCCTGATCTGGTGAGTGGTCGGCACGACGTCCTTCTATGTACGGCTCTATTTCCTGTTGGATACATTTTGGTAGACCTGATTTTTTTATTTATTTTTTTACCTCCGAAACAGCCTGGGACCTTTTTAAAGCACCTAAATCATGGTGACAGTTTGAGTTGGTATACAGTGGCATCCAAATGGTGCTCAGTTGGTATTAATGACACTAATATGAGCCACAATCATATGTATAAATCTTTGTATAAATGTAGGATTTACGCAGCATAAAGTAAAAGTAAATCAATATTTACAGTTATACCGTATATTACATGTTAAGTCTGACTCTAGGTCATTTTAAACATCTGTGTAAGCTGTAAGATATTTGCCGCTGTTGGTACAATATGTAAGGTAGTGACTATTACCTAATTTACTTAATTTGCATACAATGGGAGAGTTTGGGCCCCAAAAAACGAATTTAGTATTTTGTGTTAACATTTTTTGCACATTGAGCCACGTCATGTGATGAATTTTTATTCTTCTGACCCATTCTCCCCAAGCGATCATTAACGTTTCTCATCTTTGCCGACAGATCATGTGTCGCTGCTCCACCACCCTGGAGAACTCTGTGAAACAGAAGATCTCCATGTTCTGCCACGTAGAACCCGAACAGGTACGTCTCTGACACCGAAACACATTCATCGTTGGATGAAGAAGAGCCCCGGCTCTCTCGAGGTTCTCTAAGCTCATCGTCCCGTCTCGTCCCAGGTCATCTGTGTGCACGACGTGTCGTCCATCTACAAAGTGCCGATACTGCTGGAGCAGCAGGGCGTGGTGGGCTACCTCAGCAGGAGGCTGGACATGCCCATAGAGACTCGGCCCAGGAAAATGCTGACTAAGTGGAAGGAGATGTCCGACAGGTGAGTCCTCGACAGGACTGTACACTCTCTCTGACTCGACGGTTTTACTCTAGAGGAGAATCCTGTTTCATGCGTTTTACTGATGCAGCCGCTTGTCTTCACAGGTCAGACAGACTGCTGGAGCACTGCTCGATAGCGCTGGTCGGGAAGTACACCAAGTTCACCGACTCCTATGCTTCCGTTATCAAGGCGCTGGAGCACTCGGCCCTGGCCATTAGCCACAAATTGGAAGTTAAGGTATGCACACGGTGTTGTTGACCCACGCTTCTCATTAATTACATTTTACTAAAGTCTTCATTTTGTTTATGCAAAAAATAAATGATTAAAAGGAGCTCCACTGCAGCAGAATGCACCAACAGCAATAGGACCTCCACTGTGTCAAGTAGAATGATATCTTTTCCTGTCGATATGTTCCATCTTTAACTGTTCAGACCGGTCTCCTCTCCTCAGTATATAGACTCGGCATCTTTGGAGCCCAACATGCTGCAGGAGGAACCGGTGAAATACCACGAGGCGTGGCAGAAACTCTGCAGTGCGGAGTGAGTGCTGAGACGGCATTTTTGTTGAGTAATACAACCTGGACTTTAAATTTACAGTTTCATGAAGTTTTCACTCTTGTTCTCAGTGGCATCCTGGTTCCAGGAGGTTTTGGTGTCAGAGGAACTGAAGGAAAGATTCATGCCATCAACTGGGCCAGGAAACAGAAAAAACCCTTCCTAGGTAAACGCATGGCTGTCACAATAGCTTTGATTACAATACCGTACTTAGCCGCATCTATAGCGGTGAACACACACTGGCTGACTGATACCTGTGTGTTTCTGCAGGTGTGTGTCTCGGAATGCAGTTGGCAGTGTGTGAATTTGCCAGGAACACACTCGGCTGGACAGGTAATATGAAGTAGTGGAGCTACGCAGGACGTGTGCAGGCTTCTTGTTTTTCCATCTTAAAGAAAAGCTGACGGTCCCCATCACGTTAGTCAAACATGCTCTAAAGTTGCAAAGCCAGTTTTCAGTCTGTTACTAATTCAGGTGAAACATGTTCTACTCTGATCAAGTGGTGGATCCGAGGGTTTATTTCATCACACAGTATATAGGGGCCTTTAGCCTGAACAAGTTTAAAAATGCCTGTCTTAGACAAAGAAATAGATATGTCAGAGGTGATGCCTCACAGACATATAAGTGTAAACGTGAGATATGAAAGAATGCGAGCAGCAGCTGGTGAATAAATACTTAAAATAGCTGATTGCATGTTTGTTTTTCAATTTAGATGCCAACTCAACTGAGTTTGACCCAGAATCAAAGCATCCTGTGGTAAGTTTGTTTATGCATTCAGTAATAACCTAGTTGTAACCTGACCTCGATAAGTGCATTGAGTGGAGATGTTGAACCTCTGCAGGTGATCGACATGCCAGAACACAACCCCGGGCAGATGGGCGGAACTATGAGGCTCGGGAAGAGACGGACCATTTTCAAGACTAACAACAGTGTACTACGTAAGAAACAACTTTAAAGTCAGTTCAGCCCAATGTTGTTGTCTGCTCTGTGCTTACTGATGATCTGTATTCCAGGGAAACTTTATGGAGATGCAGAATACGTGGATGAAAGGCACAGACATCGCTTTGAAGTATGTTGACATCTCAGTATAAACTAACTTGCGGACAGTGGGGTGGGAATATATCTCTATATATGTTTTTGTAACTTTGTTGTCCCTGTACAGGTCAATCCTGAGCTCACGAGTCACTTTGAAGAGAAGGGCTTCCGCTTCGTAGGTCAAGACGTTGAAGGGGAAAGAATGGAAGTCATAGAGCTGGACGGTACGGATGAAGAAACGCTGACCTGTTGTTTTTGTGGGGAAAAGGGGTTTTTAAAAGTCAACAATTCCACTACAACATTCTACGTACTTTAATATTTTTCAGATCATCCATACTTTGTCGGGGTGCAGTATCACCCAGAGTTCACCTCCCGCCCCATTAAGCCATCACCCCCGTATCTGGGTTTGTTACTGGCTGCAGCCGGGAAGCTTCAGAGCTACCTACAGAAGGGCTGCCGCCTGTCTCCACGGTAAACATGGCGCACCTGATTAAATGTTTCTACTCATACACAAACTACAAGTATAAACTGTTTTATCAGATTAATGACTGAGTTCTCTTTATCACAGGGATACATACAGCGATCGGAGCGGCAGCAGCACCCCAGACTCCGAGATATCCGAGTTGAAATTGCCTTCCATCTCGAATGAATGACTTGGAGTTACAAGATACTTATAGATGATTTTCACAAGGATGTTTCATTTGAGACTTCTTACCACCAAATACAATATGAACTTGACCTACAGATGTACCAATGCTTTTTTCAATATATTGTCAGATTAATGTGACTCATAACAAGGCAATGTACAACAGCAACACAAGTATAGGAACATTTCCACATCATTGTGGTTCATGTGTTACATGAGCCCAGTGGACAACTGGGTTTAAACACTTTTATCCAAAGCGACTTACAATTCAGAGATCATATTTTAGGGTTGAGGGCCCTGCACTCAACTTAGTCGCCTTTGCTTTAGGCGGAAAAGGGTCCTAAGTAGTAAAGTGTTCAACATGTTGCTACTGATACTTCGCTTACTGTCTCTTGGTTGTATATACACTGCTCAAAAAATTAAAGGAAACACTTAAGCAACACATCCTAGATCTGAATGAATGAAATAGTCTTATTAAATACTTTGTTCTTTACATAGTTGAATGTGCTGACAACAAAATCACACATTATCAATGAAAATTAAATTTATTAACCCATGGAGGTCTGGAAAATTGAAGTGGAAAAACACTACAGGCTGATCCAACTTTGATGTAATGTCCTTAAAACAAGTCCAAATGAGGCTCAGTAGTGTGTGGCCTCCACGTGCCTGTATGACCTCCCTACAACACCTGGGCATGCTCCTGATGAGGTGGCGGATGGTCTCCTGAGGGATCTCCTCCCAGACCTGGACTAAAGCATCCGCCAGCTCCTGGACAGTCTGTGGTGCAACGTGGCATTGGTGGATGGAGCGAGACATGTCCCGGATGTGCTCAATTGGATTCAGGTCTGGGGAACGGGCGGGCCAGTCCATAGCATCAATGCCTTCGTCTTGCAGGAACTGCTGACACACTCCAGCCACATGAGGTCTAGCATTGTCTTGCATTAGGAGGAACCCAGGGCCAACCGCACCGGCATATGGTCTCAGGATCTCATCTCGGTACCTAATGGCAGTCAGGCTACCTCTGGCGAGCACATGGAGGGCTGTGCGGCCCTCCAAAGAAATGCCACCCCACACCATTACTGACCCACCGCCAAACTGGTCATGCTGGAGGATGTTGCAGGCAGCAGAACGTTCTCCACGGCGTCTCCAGACTGTCACATCTGCTCAGTGGAACCTGCTTTCATCTGTGAAGAGCACAGGGTGCCAGCGGCGAAGTTGCCAATCTTGATCTCTGGCAAATGCCAAACGTCCTACCCGGTGTTGGGCTGTAAGCACAACCCCCACCTGTGGACGTCGGGCCCTCATACCACCCTCATGGAGTCTGTTTGACCGTTTGAGCAAACATGCACATTTGTGGCCTGCTGGTCATTTTGCAGGGCTCCTGCTGTTCCTCCTTGCACAAAGGTGGAGGTAGCGGTCCTGCTGCTGGGTTGTTGCCCTCCTACAGGCTCCACGTCTCCTGATGTACTGGCCTGTCTCCTGGTAGCGCCTCCATGCTCTGGACACTACGCTGACAGACACCGCAAACCTTGCCACAGCTCGCATTGATGTGCTGCACTACCTGAGCTACTTGTGTGGGTTGTAGACTCCGTCTCATGATACCACTAGCGTGAAAGCACCACCAGCATTCAAAAGTGAACAAAACTTCAGCCAGAAAGCATAGGAACTGGTCTGGTCACCACCTGCAGAACCACTCCTTTATTGGGAGTGTCTGTTTTGCTAATTGCCAATAATTTCCACCTGTTGTCTCTACCATTTGCACAACAGCATGTGAAATTGAGTGTCAGTGTTGCTTCCTGAGTGGGCAGTTTGATTTCACAGAAGTGTGATTGACTTGGAGTTACATTGTGTTGTTTAAGTGTTCCCTTTATTTTTTGAGCAGTGTACTATTGTGGCTACAAACATCAGTTTACTGAACATGAATGCAAGATTGAATAACACAGAATCTCAAAATGGTATTAGGCGTTTTATTTCATTCCATGACAGTCCACAATCAATGTTGATTTGACTCACGGGAGTTCAATGGCACAGTTTGTGCACGTTCCGTCTGCACAGGTGGACACGACCACTTTAGGCTGGGCACAACCACTGGAATGACAAAATAAAACCAATTTAGCACACGTTGACAATTTTTTTTTTTTTTTGAAGAACATATTATTCAAAGCTTGATCTCAGTCCCATATCCGCAAACTTCATCCAACAGTCCTCAATGCAATTGGTTGTCATCATGGATCAGAATAAATAAAAGAAACTAGCACATCACTCTACATACCTTTCAACCAGGGAGGCATTACAGCCCACGGGGCAAGGCCACCAGATTCAAGCTCAGATCGATGCCTATAGTAGAGAGAGAATTATTAAAACATGAACGCTCATCACATCACTGCTGTGCATGAAACAGAAGTCTGTCGGATAGTTGAGTGGCTGATTGTGGCAGAAGAGGCCACAACAGTCAAAGACCACCCCATTATCTTGCACGCACTTGGAGAACCTAGAGCTACAGACAAGCCCCGGTCCTTAGGATAGCATGCTATAATGTGATCACACCGATAATAAAAAGTTACCTTTATATTAGAAGTTCTCATCCAGTCACTTATGAGTCAACGTCAGCCATGAGGGTCACCTAAAGGGAACAATATAGTTAGTTTTGAAAATCCACCACCACTGTATAACGAATAAGTTGTCACGTGTGGCTCAGTCAAAAAGTGTCTCAATCATGAATTGTCAGTGAGGGCAAGTTTGTAATCACAGCCAGAAGCATTTATATTCAAGATGAGGCTCAGAAAGTACCTAAATGTGATGACGTTATCATGTTCCGCCCGTCCACAGTAGTCACCCAATTCCTGCTGAAAAGAGTACAGTTATAAGTTAATATTCAGCACTTTACATATAGGCTTGTTCTCAACGTCATTTAGTCTGAATGTCCTTCCCCTTAATGTTGCAGTAGCAGTTACTTTCAAACTGAACAGCGACCGTCGGTGAAAGTCTTCTTCTTGGCTTCCTGTTGACCATTCATTGCTACTGGAGAGCATGAACGGCTTCGATAGGAGCCTTATGTAGAAACGGTGATAGAAATAAACATACCTGGATGCTATACAGAGAGCCATGAGGTCAGGTAGAGCTCCTGCGTCAGGCCGATTCTGTAGGAGAGAAAGTAGGTAAGTCAATGCATATTCTAAAGTGCTGTAGAAAGTCCACAAGTTAGGTTGCAGTATTTTAATAATTACTCTGTATGGTTGCGTATTTAAAATGTTGCATCCGTTTTTAAATGCGTGACGTTACATACAAGTTCAATTTGACATTTGTGCCTTGTGTAAATTAGTCATCTAAAGTAAAGTTATGGAGATCTGAAGGCCGGTTTAAGAAGGACACTGCCACGTGGTTCACACGTTAGCATTAAGCTAACATTAAACCAGGCAGTGAAGAGTTAGCCCCAACACAGCCAGCATTACAAGCCTAAAACAAGCCGGCACAATGTGTACAATTGTGTAAATGTAACGCCATACTGTTCTCGTGGATCATTCGTGTTACCCGCGTGCAAACAGTAACTTGCGTTAGCTACATAAGCTAATAGTTGGCTTAAGTAACTCTAGCACGTTTTAGTACAGGCTAGCCAATGACTTGGCGTTAACATCAATACATTATAGTGATTTGTAAGCAAAACACGCGTAAGCTAACTATCATTTATCTACATGTAACTTAAGTGTGCGTGGAGCTGAATAGTTGAAACCTTACCGGAGTTCTTAGTCTGCCGCGCATCTTCACCGCGTAAGACTTGAAGAGGAAGAGACTGAGTAGAGTGTCTCGTGGCTTTTTATACGCTAGCGCCGAGCAGCAGCCCGCTGATTGGTCTGCATAGGTCACATGGGGCCGTTGCATTATGGGATATGTATCTTTTTATAAGCGTTTTGGAGAATCCTTACTGTCTTTTAGATTTATCGTGACTTAGACACATTAATACGAACAGAAGCAGATCTTTTTACATCTTACGTTTTCACACAGAAAGCTGTATGTGAGTAATTGTGTATAAAGATTGTGTATAAAGAGAGAAATATACTGAACAGTCGGGCATAGCTTGATCTCTTTAACCTACTTCAGAACCACGGACAGCAACCTGTCTCCTTCCACTGATCTGTCTCTTGCGGTTTTGAGATAACAACTGAGTCATGCTCTAAATGGACACTTGCGAAATATTGCTATTACATGTCATGTTCGTAGATGAAATTACTCCAGCAAAAATAAGCTGATTTATGGCTAAATTAAATCTTATATGTCTAGGAAATCCCAAATGATGTTGTTTTTTTTACGCCTTAAAATTCCACTTCGCATTATCTGTCATTCCAAGACATGCAACTGCCTAATTCACGAGTGCAAAATGTTGTATTGTAGTGCACTGTGTATAGTAGAGCATAGGTGAATCTATCACATGGTTGCTGCGGTCGCTCTGTGCTCCGCGTCTCTTTCTTCCAGAGCAGGAGGCAAGGCAGCAGCAGCAGGAGACGGGGCTTCATGTAAACACGCCGCGCACAGGGCTTTCTTTGTTTCACACACACACACACACACACACACACACACTCACTCACACACACACACACGCACTGGTATCCCCTCTTCTAGTCATGCCATGGATATTTTGTGGCAATACCAGTTCCGAATCATTTTACTCGGCGATTCGACAGTGGGGAAGTCGTCTTTGCTGAAACGCTTCACGGACGGAATCTACAGTGATGTGGCGGATCCGACGGTCGGGGTAGATTTCTATGCCCGCTCGCTTGATATCGAGCCCGGGGTGAAAATAAAGCTTCAGCTGTGGGACACGGCCGGTCAGGAACGATTCAGGTACGTAACCGAATAAAATGTGGCTCACACAAAATAAGTCTGGATTGAATGCGACGAACAAATCTTCACCAAGTAGATTTTGGCGCTAAATAATGGAGGGGCCTTGGTTCGATGTCGCGTGATTTGGCTGCTATTGTAAAATGAAACCCCCTGAATTTAAATGACGGCTATTCCCTCGCTCGTTGTGATGTAATAAAGTGAGTGTGAACAGTGGAGAAAAGGGTCAGGAGGAGATTATATAGGCCTCGATCCTATGATGCCCTGGCCTATATAATAACACTGAAAATGGAGCTGTATCATTGCCTTCGTTCACGGATGATGGGCATGCCTCCTCATATTTAGGCCCCAGTTTTATTCTATGAGGTACTGACTCCACAGTCTCCAGGGCACACAATGATGTCAACTCATACACTCAAATCTATTTTTCTTTTGGCATTCATCATGCCCTGTTGCTTGTTCTGTTGCTTGTGTTCTTGCTGTCATGGATCATTTCCTTTAAAGCACTTCTGTGCGTGTGTGTGTGTGGAGAAGCAGCTCCGCTCTTAGATCTGCTTTCCCTTTTGAAGGCAAATCTTAAGAGGGTGTTTTCCTTCAGGCTTCACCACACTTTCACTTCTGTCTTAACTGACTATGAGAAGAAGTGTTTGTGAAATCAATCGGCCATTTTTACGCCGCCATGTGCACGGATTAGGGTTTGTGTGGATGTTGGTAAGGCTGGGGCAAGGTGGGCCAACGACCCTGGGCCAGAGACCTTTAGGGGGCCCAGTGAGTCATGTTTATTGTCGGGTTTGAGGTTATTTGATTCATTTTAATTCAATTCAATACCGCCATTCATCCCCAGCAGGGTAATGATCACATGTTGAGGCCCTGTCTTATAAAGGTACTCTGTGTCAAAATATACTTTTAATACCTTCATTAGCCTATTTAATCAATAGCGTGCATGCATAATGCAAATGCCTAAGCACATTTACATTAGAAAATACAAACTGGCACACGACAAACCTGATATTTCATTGCAGAACAATAATGATAGATAGGACAGGGACAGGCAGTCGGTGTGCGGGCTACCTTAAATGTACCATGACTATTTAATTGTTAGACCTAATTGAAAATGTTCAAATGCTGTGTCATTTCAGTGGTCAGCATTCAGTGGCCAGAAAGACTTAGCTTCACTTTATGCATATTGAGGTTGATTTAACATGCGTGACAGGACTTGAGACCTAACTTGTATTTGTCACTTGTGACTTGAAACACTTTTAATTCTGTGGGTTGAGGGTGCAGTAACTATACCATAAACACTTGGACTTTTCTTATATCACTTCAGACTTCTCTCAACTGACTTGAAACCTGCTTTAACAAAACCCCAGACTTGAATTGGACTTGTCTCGACTGACTTGAGACCTTTTCCAAAAGACTCAGGATATTACATCCAGTCAGGATAGTGGAAACCCTTTGCTGGCAGGTTTAAAGTTGTTTGTTTATCAGAGCTGTCCTAGATGTTCAAAAGTGCTTAATCAAGATAATGTTGCCTTGAATCACTAAGATCTGATTAATCTATATACCCACCAGGTCCATCACAACATCCTACTACCGTAACTCTGTGGGCGGGCTCCTGGTCTTTGACCTCAGCAATCGCAAGACCTTTGAGCATGTGCGGGAGTGGCACAAGGAGGTGAGTGAGCACATCCTGCCCCACCACATGGTCTACATCCTCATCGGCCACAAGAGCGACCTCAACAAGGACCGCCAGGTGAGCCGGGACGAGGCGGAGCAACTGGCGGCCGAGATGGGCATCCGCTACGTGGAGACGTCGGCCAAGTGCAACAGCAACGTGGACCGGGCCTTCGAGCTGCTGACGAAAGACATCTACGAGCTGATGAAGATGGGGGAGATCGTCACCCGCGACGGCTGGGACGGGGTCAAGAGCGGCCTCACCGCCAAGGTCCTCTACCCGGCCGACGATGAAGAGGCACTCGCTACCGCGGTCCCCGAAAGGGGCTGCCACTGCTAACTGTGAACTCTCTGTGTCCAAACACTGTCCCGTCACACCAAGAGTTCACCTCGTCTCACAGTTGTCCATCGAAACCAAGTCACTCAGGCTCAGTACCCCCGTGATATCACCATCCATCACTTCCTCACCTTGTGCGTCGTGTGTGGGTTCTTCCCACAGCCGGGGTTCTTTTCTAATCAGGGGGGGGCCATTGTATATCCCGATGTGTATCTTAACAGGCAACTTTGTTTTCTCTAAAGCCATGTGGTGTAGCATGAGCTGAGCTGTTTTGGACCTTGCTAGGTTCGGATGACACAAGTGTGCAGAGGTGATCAGGTCATAGTTCTTAGAGTGTTGCCAACACTGCTTTAAACAGCCACCGGAGTCAGTGGACTACTGAGTATACAGAAGACACAGATCCATTTCACAGAGCACTATTGTGGGTTTCTATCTAAGTTTGTGCGACGCTTTGCCCGCAATCATTTGTGATTATAATATTGTAAATAGTAGTGAAATCTATAGAGATGAAAGCTATAAGGTCACTGAAAGCTATTTAATTGATAGTGTGAACGGAGTGTCACCATATTTTATCAGTGTGCTCCTGCTACTGTCAGCTATATGTGCACTTACGCCAAACTGACTTAAACCTTTCTGTGAATAGATGAGAAATGCTCCTGGAAAAAAAAAAAAAAAATAGATTAAGGTGTATACATAGAGACAGGCCATTGTAATTAGAGTAGGTGGCCTTTAGGCATTTGTTTCATAGCATCAACAGGAGCAAGACATCAAGTGTGTTACCTCTCAGTCATCAAATCTGTAATGACCTCATCAACAGCAGGAAAGATGTGTTTGACTAAAAACAAAAGGAATTCTGAACATCACCTGCAGCTGTTTGGGGATTAGGGCAAACAGCTGTTTCTTTTGTTCAAAGCTTAATCCACAAAAATAACAATATTCCAATCAGGCCTGAGCCGACGATGGATGCCAACTCATTCGATCCATATGTGGACATGTGTGCTGCTTTTGTGGGTGTGTACTTTATGCCGTGTTCCAGAGGTGTCGGTATGAAATTTTGTTTTAAGTTTTATGGCGAAAAGTCAGACTTCCAAGTACATAACCTGGGAAAAATTAACAACCCTGAGATGTCACGTTAACAAGGCAGCATATACTGCAAAAGCTAGTCAGCATTTCTTTCATGAGACTGGTATCAATCTCCTCATCTAACTCGCTCAAAGACTCAGCGTATTTACTAAAATGTTGAAATGAAGTCCTTAATTATTTCAAAATGCTTGTTCTTACTCTGACAGAAGTGCTTGTCTGTATTAATTGACCTTCAAGGCCAAGATTTTCCTTAATCCTAAAGCTGCACAGAAGAAATTCTTTGTTAGTACCTTTGACATACCAAACATAACTGAAGCTTTTACATGTGGAAGAGTGTTTGGGATTTACCGACTTATACACTAACACCAGCTGATGGTCAGTTGATAAAGACTGTATGGGGGATCTAGTATTTCTAAAACATTTGCATTATCCCTTTATTTTGTCGTCTCTTTACAGATTCTAACAGCATACTTCCTAATGAACCGTCATCTGTTGTATCTGGGTTTAAATCCAACTAAATGTCCTTGCAACATCCCAAATCACCATTTGACAACCAGCCTGACTGTGTTTAATGCTACAACCATTCTCGCCTGTGTCTCTCATCTGAACAGGGTTGAATTGTGTATTAATTGTTTGAATTTGTATGTTAAAACTGTGCTGTAGGCCAACTGTTCTCCAGTAAGCATGATTCCCATTCCTGAGCACTGCACGCCAGAAAGGCCCCATTGCATTGCACGGTGCGAAGACGGCAGCCTCAAAGCGTTGGAGAGCACTGGTTACATTTAAAGGACAACTTTGGAAAGACACAAATAAGAAATGGCTTTTTGAATGGGAAGAAATAAGCGTATTCATTGTCAACTTTTACTAATACAGTAATACATAAGATAATAGTAATACTAATAGCATTATTAATAATAGCATTCGTAATACAACAAACCATCCTGTGTAATGACCATGATAGTGATGGTGGCCAACCAACTGTCCAGATCCAGGCCTCTCTTACCGTAATCTTAAAGGAGTAGTTCAACATTTTGGGAAATACATTTATTTGCTTTCTTTCTGGGAATTAGATGAGACAATTGGTACCACTCTCGTTGCCAGATTTGGTACCATTGTGCCTGGACAGACACCTATACTAAAACCTGTGCTCACCAACAGCATTGCTTGAGATGCTACACAGAAGTAGCATCTCAGTAATGTGCGGATGGATAAACTGTTTTTCGTCAGGAAATAGTTCCCCGTTAAATCCCCGTAAAACCACAAATTGGCGATTTAAAATCTTTGTTTAAACAGACAAGATATAATGGGTAATTGGTGAGCTTTAGATGTGATAGGCATATTTATTAACTTTTGAAAGAGCCTCTGCTTTTGCTCTCTATGCTAAGCTAGGCTAACCACAACTTGGCCCCAGCCACACATTTGAGCATGAGATTTATATCAATCTCCTCTCTAAGAAAGAAAATAGGTCACCAAATTTCCCAGAATGTGGAACTATGTCTTTAATGGTGTATTTTTATGTTGTTCACAGGAATGATTAAACCAACCTGGTAGGGCTTCTGTACCAGAAAACATCAGCCGGTGTTTGGCCTGCGGGTACATAGCACAAAACTGTTCAGCTCTTGATCCCGATGGTCACATTTCACAGCTTTACTGAATAAATGTTATTTATTTTATATTTGATGTGATTTTATTGATTGGTTAAAAAAATAAATAGATGTACAATGAATAATGTCTGGACTCAAAGTTTGTTTGTTGTTGTCTTTTAACTGTAGGGTTTGGTACCCTCTTCTGACGGATTGATAATTATTACGACCTAGATTGGTTATTCTGATATTTTAATGGTGATAAAGATTTGCACATTGCCATGTTGTTACAGGGACAAGTCCACCATGCAACCTTTTATCCAAAACAAGAGTTACGTACATTAGGCATGATTAGATTGAGTTGCTAAAAGTGAGCTATTGCTACAAACAGGTTCAATAGGAAAACAAACAACATTTAAATAGGTTGTCCATATTAGCCGGGAGCCCTAGTTTGGCAATAAATGTCATAGAAATTAAATGTGTTTTATATCTCTGGTGACAGTGTTGCCTGTATCAAGTATGTATCAAGTTTAAGATGAGTCTATAATGCCTATAATTGCTGATATTTTCAATCATATAATACATTATTTTAGCAACGTTATTAACACAATGTTAAACTTAATTAAAATATTATAATAATCACAGTTATATCTGAAAACAATCTGATACAAAATAAACGGGTGCTACCTCTGGAGATTTAGATGTAAGCTTCAAACCTTCGTATTTCTAAAATCCTGTCTACAGCCCTGCATCTGTTTTTCTCTTTTCTATTATCTTTTATGTGGATCAAGGCTGATTGAGAGAGCGCAGTCAAAATGTACAGAAAACTTCTTCCGTGATGGCATTTATTTGAACCACATCTCTGTCAACTCACAACAATCAATTCCATGGACGTTGTTTTTCTAGGTGCTCTTTGATTTCCCCACATTACCTGAACGCAACACTAGCTGGAAGATGCGCAGAGCAACCAATGAGAGTCAACCATATAATTTAGCCCCGCCTTTATTTTACCCATCATGCTCTTCGACAGCAAAATGTACACATAAAAGGGTAACAATTCCGACAAATAATTAAGTATTGACTACATATTTCCTCTGATAATAGTTTTTCTGTATGGTTATTATACAACCCACCATAAAGCACCAGTACGCAGAGGTAACGTCCCAGTTCTTTGACCCCTGAGTGAGGTACATGTTCCCACTGGTGAGTAGGTGGTATGGTCAAAGGACTCGTTAAAAAGGGCTTCTGCTATGTTTGGCACAGGAGGGGTGGGGATAACCACTTCTTCTGCGGAATCGCTATCAAGAGATTTCGGAAGCATAATTTTTAACCCAGGGGCTGCTAGTGATCACATGTCCTGGCGTCCCGTTCTTATATGTTCAAAAACGAACCATTTAATTAATCTATCTAAAGTTCCTTCTGCAGTCATGAATGCAATCGAGAATATATGTTGATCTACTCGGACAACTTTCAGTGATTCCCATGTTAAGCAGGTGTGAGATCGAATGGCTATGTGATGTCTTAAATTCTTAAAAAACTGGCAACTTTATGTTAATTTACACATGTCCATCGGTTGGGGTTAGGACCGACGTTTATGACCGTTGAAGCTATAACACCAAGTATTCAAAATGTCAAACAATTCAAATACAACGCTTCACACAGTACTTCACCACAACACAAGCCGAATAGACACAGTCCACGAGCTACATCTTAATAAAGAACACATATACAAACAGACGGTGCCACTACATGTGAATTAAGCGGTACTCTCTATTCAATAAATATACTTTAGTCATTTAAATGAGTTGATAGTTGATTTTTTTCGCGGTTTACAAGAGCGTGATAAACAAGGCGAGCGCTGTTCTGCAGGAAGTCAAGCTTACATCTGCCGAAGTGCGCATGCGCGTCATCTCTCCTCAATCTAGGGCTGCGTTTCTCTCCATAAAAACGGTAAGGACAAGCTATTTTATTGCTATGCGATTGTAGAATATACGTGGCTGTAAATTATCAGCCGATTTTCACGACGCTAGCGGTGGTTTTAACCGGGTGTTTTGGGGTGTTTTTACGCCAGCCAGCCAAGGCTCTCCGCGCACAGAATGGAGGGGCAACGCCGCCGCCGTGCCGTTGTTTGCTGTACGTGCCGCCGCACAGGGAGACGTCATTTTGAGGGGGAGCGGAGAGTTAAAATGCAGAGTTACGAAGGGACGTACGGTTCAGAGACAAGCGGCACGTAACCGTCACACTGTAAATGCACAAGCGTTACCCGTCTCGGACCGTATAGTTTGCAGTATTGTCCAGGTTGCCCACATATTAAGTTACGCCCTTTGCTGTTGTTAGCCGTAATGGCTACCGAGCCTTGTGTGACTATAGCTGTGTGGGTCTCCACAGCATAAAGCAGTCCTCTGCCCACGGCGGTCGTGATCAATCCACTCAACTTTTGGGGGAAATAGGAGTTAGTTTATATGCAACAAAACGGATGAAATTAGCTGAAGTGTAACTGAATGGCCTGCTAAAGCCCGCGTCAGTTAGCATCGCCCTAAATCACTCAAAACTGCGGGTTTATATTCCCAAATGCGCGAGGCAAAGACCCGCACATTAAGCGTGACCGTTACATTTTGCTCCAAAAATTTTGACAGACAAAAAAAAAGTGTGACTGCATCGTTAATTTGCATAAATAATAATTTATATAATAGATAATAACATATTGTAAGTTAGTATTGCTAAATACGAAATGTTATTAAAACCAATAGCTCAATGTTTCTGTAGATAATAGAGTATATAAAGTTATATTAGACTGATGTTAATTAATTCATACATTTTTAAGTATTGATCATGTTCTTCAAGCGGTTGTTAAAGTTTCTCAGCTGACAAGATAACATTAAAATTTTATATTCTTAAATCAAGTTTGGTTTATTGTGTTCTTCATCCTCGGCTAACAACTCTTGCAGAAAGCTGTATTACCTTTCATTTAAACTACCCTACTTTAACTATGTTACATGCATACATGTAAACCAAGTACACACAAGTTCAGTTAACTAGTTATCTTAATGCTAAGCTATTAAAACAACATTTTGGGTTCTGGTATCCAGCTATGTCATGGTGCAACTTGTGCTCTGTTTTCTACATTTTAAATATATTCATCCATTTTTTATTTTCCAGATGAACAAACTCCTGGATAGCTGTTGTATGAAAGCAGCCCCCCTCTGTAATCTACTCTGAGTGTGATGGCGACCACCGACGAGGTCACGGTGTCCATAGCGGAGGTGGTGATGGTGAAGGCCGACGGCGAAGGAGACCCTGATGACCCTAATAGGACTCAGGTCATCCTCCAGCTCCAGCCAATCGCCACCAGGTACGTACCGAAGCTGTTACAGACGATCAGCCACAATTAGGTTTTGATTACAGTTGCATTTGCAACCAACGTCGTTGTTGCATCTTGGATATTAGATGTTTGCATGAATAAACATAACGTAAGACACTAAGTAGATATATATAAAAGACAGACAGGAAACCTCTATTTTACCGAGAACTGTTTTCTTTCCAGGGATGAATCTGCTGAAACAGACGCAGCCGTCATGACTGTCGAATCACATTCAGGTAAAAGACTGTCAGAATAATATTTGGACATCTTGGAAAAGATTTAGCGATGCTTACGTTTCCCCACCACCGGCCTCCTCGGGTTTAAACGCTGTGTGTGTGTGTGTGTGTCTTTTCATTCTTTCAGAACAAGTTGATGGAGATGATGTTGAAATTGGCTGTCCCATAACATGTGGCGACAGTAAAGCTGTGCTGCTAGTGAAGAAATTTGTTTGCCCGGGAATCAATGTGAAATGTGTGAAGGTGGGTATTCATCTTCATCGAAGCAAAATGGCAACTTCATCATTGATCTTTGAAAGATCATCCGTATGCTTTTATATTTGGGTCACAAGGCACATAGGTTCTAATGTTAACACACTTAATAGTGAAGACTGCAACAAATGATTGTGTTACCAAACATTACCGTACATGCGTAGCTAAAAGGCAACTAGGTCATTCAATAGTCATTCACACAGCAGGAAACAAACATGTACTACATCTAGTCCCAGAATAGCGACATCGAACTTCCTATTTCTTCTCTCTTTTAACATCAAATAGCGTTCTGCCGATCACAATTCTAAGTGTGTGTATGCTTACAGCGGCTGATTGAGTTTGACACCCTGAACAATGTAATATGACGAATGTTCTGTTTTATTTACCTTTCTTGCTAGACATAGCGTTATGAAATTAAAACAGGTGCTTGCTATTGCCAATCGCAGCCGGTCAAGCTGAACCTGTAATGAGCAGCTAAGCACAACGAATGCTCTGAACCAAATGAAATATCAAGCAAACCCCCCCCCCCCCCAGTCTAACAGTGGTGAGAAATCATTCAGGCTGCTGTCGGCATCGCAGAGAAAACTGTACGTTAGACTGTAAAAGCTGAGGCCAAGAAAACACATTAAAAAAAGAGAGTGAAAAGTGTTTTATTGATATGTTTTTGTTGTATTCCTCTCTCCACTAGTATGAAGACCAGCTGATCAGCCCGAAGCAGTTTGTGCACATTTCTGGAAAAGCCACTCTGAAAGACTGGAAGAGAGCCATCAGAATGGGGGGAATTATGCTGAGGTGAGAGGACTTATCTTTGGATTCGTGAGCCAAAAAGCCATGTTTCAGTATTCTGGCTGGTTGCACACTACACAACATTATAATTCATTACAGCCTGCTGCTTGCGGACCGTTACAGAAGTTCTTTGGCTGATGTAACGAGCAGAGATTGTGACTCATACATCTTGAATAAATATCCGAAACGATGAGTATATTCTGAGCGAATTCACTCGACGTTAGTCCATCACGTCTGAGCTGTAAATGAAATTAAATAATCACCTTGGCCTTTGATTAAATTCACAAGTAATATGAAAGGTGTTGTGATGAACCCACAGAGAATTATCATCATCTCTATATTATCCTTTTTATTAGCTCGTTGTGGGCCTGAAAACCAAAACAAACTCCACTCACATCCCCTTTTGTTTCTAGCTGCCCTTTTAAGATAAAAAGCAATGTTGGGAAATGATTCCTATTTTGGCAGTATTGATGGGACCTCTTCTATTTTCAATAACTGTTTGAAACCCTTCATGATTTGTGCTCTTCCAGAAAGATGATGGATTCCGGTCAGCTGGACTTCTACCAGCACAGCACACTGTGCACCAACACGTGCCGCAGCACCAAGTTTGACCTTTTAATCAACAACACGCGGTTCCCTCCTGACGGCTCTGGACTTACCACGCCCACATCCTCTCAAGGTGAGAACACACCACGGTCATGGATTTACCAATACCTACTTTCAGTTTTTGTGCAAGATGATGTCATAGTATAAGAGTAACTTAAAAAAGATGTGTCGAAAGCAAAAACACATTCATTTCTTAAGCAGATTTAGACTGCAATGAAGTCCTAAATTATGAGGTATCTTGTGATTCGTCTATTATCTACCACTACGACCTTTATTTAAAGTGCGCTTTTTTTGTGTAAATTGCAGCTCAGGTGGTCCTGGGTAATGGCGGTACAGTGGGCGAGGACAGAGCAGAGGTTCTGAGCGGGAAGATGGACTGGATTTCAAGCTCGCTGGAGGCTGCAGAGAAGAAGGAAACGAACGAGATCTCAGGTCACAAAGAGCACACTTCCACACAACTCATTCCACAATAAAACACGCATAAAAACACGGAGCACACCGGTGACTGAGACCTGCGTGTGTTGTCTGTTGTATCCACAGAGGACACGCTGAACTTCTGGAAGGGCATCGCTGATGTGGGTTTGTTGGGGGAAGTGGTGACCAACATCAGTACAGAGCTGGTGGAGCTGCTGAACGGCGTGCAGCAGCGCAGGGAGCCCGCTGGCATACAGGACACAGGTACGGAACAACGCTAATGTGTACTGGCTGCTGGGATGGCGTCACCCAAACAGACCATATGTCGGCCGTAAGGCTCGCCCGAAGGCGCGCGAACGAGCAACGAACGGAAAGAATGAGCAAATTCAGCTGCGGTTGGATGCAAACTGTTGGTTTTTGTGTAACAACTCTGACTGAGTATTTAACGACTCGTTGTTTACAAGAGCTGAATTTGTTCCTCCTTTCTGACCCTTTTGATTGATTGCCGCGCTGATCCCAGATTCCTGTCTGGTAGAGGTGGCGGTGCTCAGCAACCTCGCCCAGGTGTTCGGCCTGCTCGACTCCGTCAAGAATACGCTGGAGAGGAGGAGGCAGCAGACGGACCCCAGCCAGGAGCAAGTCCTCAGCACGCTCACCAGTGAGTACAGAAGCAGGGTTCCTCTTCAGGAGCTGCCACAGTGACCATGAAAGAGACAATATAGCTGCTAAGCTGTTTACGTGGCTAATAAAAAAAAGAATACTCCACTAATATTCCTGTTTGCATGCAGCTCTGCATGCTCCGATTAACATCAAAATGCCGCTATGCCAGGTATTTAAATTACTTAAATTTCCCTCGATTAGTGCGCATGTAAAGGCAGTCACTGATTCTCTTGATATGCGTGTTCTTTAGTTAGTTGTCCAATGTTTGGCCGATGTGTCTGTTGGACATTTTCTGTACAAACGGGACACGTCAATTTCTAATTGCACCAAAGGAAACGCAACCTCTTGAATGATAAAACTATCTCTGTGTTTCACTGTGTGTATTCGAGGCAGAGAGAGGAGGTGGGATGAGATACATTTAGCATGCACACCTTCTGTCAACACTAATTAGACTAATGAATGTCAATCACAGATCAAAAGGTGAGCGTGGTATTCCGTCTCCTTCTTCTTGGTGTGAAGTAGTGCCAAACTGTTTAAAAACTCCGCATCTGAAGCAGGCAATAAGGATGACACATTTGAATAATGCATTGAAGTACAATTTAAATGTTAATGAGTAATTCCGTTCATTGCCTTGGATCGGCAAGAATCGTCAGTACAAAAGATGAACAACTGCCTTGCAAACTACAGACCATCTTGTGCCCCCCACCCCCCCTCCTTCCAGCGCCCTTCCTCGGATCTTCTAACTCTGCCGAAATTTTGATCTCAACTGACATCTGTAAAGTTTCGTGACTGCCTCTTGCATAGTTCCTGATACAGTGGGTGTCTCCAGGACCACATTGTGCCTTGATGGAAATACCTGCTTATTTGATTAGATGTTGAAATGATTCTTAAAAGAATACAAAATAAAACCGTTGGGATGCAGAACTCAAGAGCAGAATGCAGGATTAGCCGCGGACAGACACAAAGGTGCACGCACGGAACCGATCGCATGATCCTCCCAGCGGAGATATTGAAAACGAACAGATTTGAATTGAGTCAATGTTGTGTATGTTTGGAGATTGGACTGGACGTTTGCTGGCTTGGGCTTGCCCATCTCTAAAAACTATTGCTGTCGAATATCAATATTAAGACGTGCAGAATCTAGTTTTAGAATAAAAAGAATAACTTTTTGTTGTGTGCTCTGTGTAGACCTGGAGGTGCAGTTGGAAGAACAGCAGAAGCAGCAGCAGGTGCGAGCTCTCCTTTCCTACCCGCAGCCTGCCAAAAACAAAACTCCCACCAAGCGCCCGACCAAACGACCTCGTCTCCAGAGGCCCGCCTCCACAACCACCCTCCTGACCTCCCCCCTCAACCAGCAGGCCATCATGCAGCCCCAGCAGTTCACCGTTCTCTCCCCCATCTCGCTGTCCTCTGTGGGTCAGCCCTTCACCATGGCGGGCCTGCCCATGGCCTCCCTGGGCCAGTCGTCCAACACGGTCACCCTGCTCCCCGCCGGCTCGCAGCTCTTCACCCGCTACATGGTGACCGGAGACGGAAAGGCGGACACCATCACCTTGCACCCGTCCTCGGGCCTCACGCTGGTGGGCACCACCACCATGCAAGACTCCAGCCATTTGGGCACGGTGGTGAGCCCCGTAGAGCTGCTGCACCTGAGCCAGCAGGCCGGCGGCTCAGAGATGGTGCCCTTAGAAGGCCAGGTGGTGGACGGCACCATGCTGGTGCAGCAGGAGGTGATGCAGGGCGAGGTGGAGACCAGCCAGGAGCACACGGTCATCGAGATCAACCCGGCTCCGATGGAGCAGGCATTAGGAGCGATGGAGCTGCAGCTGACCGGGGAGTCGGGCAGAGATGGGGCCACCATGATGGTCCAGAGCGGGGTGGAGGTGACGATGGCTGCAGGGGGGGAGGAGACGCAGTGCCAAATGCAGGAGGTGCAGACTGGGGGGGTGCAGGGGCTGCAGTTGGACGCCAGCGGACAGTTGTCAGGTGTACAGATAGTGGTGATAGAAGAAAATACTCAGGAAGAAAACAAGCTCCAATGAGACACGCCTCCTATTTTATCCAGCAGAGCAGGTATGGACTCGTACTGAGCTGTCACAGACTTGTGAATCTGTAAATACACAGAATTTTCAAAATACACAATTTGCCTTGGCCTAAGACCAAGCTCTAGGGGTAGCCATTTTTTTCCTTTTTTGGTGTGTGTGTGTGTGTGTGTGTGTGTGTGTGTGTGTGGGGGGGCGTGTACAATGCTCCTCTCAACTTGTTTTTTATTGCAACAAAGAGGCACCACCACAAAGAGCATACTGCTTCTGTTTGATATGTATTTAAAGTATGATTCTGGTTTATTACAACTCAATATTTTTAATTATTGCTTTCATTTCTAGCTGAAACAATAATGTACTCGTTAGATACGTGGGAATGTGTCTATTTTTAAACAGAAGTGAGATGGTGCAAACACAAGATTCAGACCGAGTTAGCCAAATTTGATTTGTGGCTGTTGTGCTCCTATTACTCTTCCTACCAACTAGCTAACAAGAAATAAACAATAGCTAATAATTGAGAGCTTAAAGAGGTGTACAGTGTTCTCAGCCTGATGTCTAACCTTCATTTTGGTCTCCCCTATGTTGTCAATATAAAGACAAACATTGGGAACCCCCTGGTTGAGTTCCCTAAGCTGTTGCCCTATTTTACAACCTGTCTGGTCGTCCGACTGCTTCTGTTTCTTGCGACATCTGATGGCGCTGTGTTCCCACATCTCATCAAATCCAACAACAAACAATGGCTAAAACTTCAAAAAAAAAAATACCTGAGTTGTAATTTTCCCGGAATTATCCTTCGAGCCTCCACGAACAACCTGAAGACGAGAGAACGCTCTGTGGCAGTAAAGTCCACGTATAGGGCTTTAATGGTGCCGATGATTTTCCAGTTCACACTCTTGTTTCACCGACTCGGTAGCAGCGGGCCGCAAGTCCCGGCCCTCTGCTGTAGATCAGACTTATTACCAGTAACAGTGTTGGTGTCACTCGAGGCTGGGACTGATTGCACTGTTGTGTCGTAATGTCGCATCCCAGCTGTATTGTTTTTGCACTGCGTGACATCCTTTAAGGGCTACAGGAGGATGTTTGCAACAATCCCTGCTCTCTGGACATTTCTTTAGAATGTGTTTTCTTTTTTTATTTTATGTTAAATGCTAACCGACTGAACTCCTCTCACTGGAAACACATCTCTTATGCACTTATTCTCTCAGTGGTTTCTTACTGCCTGATTTCATTCACAAGCTCCATATAATATGGATTTTTTTCTTTATTATGATCATCCTTTTGGCTTTATCTCAGTATGATTGATAGTGTGAGCTACTGGGCTGATTGTTTAAGTCAATATATAAAAAAAAACATATATATATATATATATATATATATATACTTAATGTCAAACATGGTATGCCTGTATTTTACACTTGTAAAGTAGTGTCATATTTATTAGTTCCCAAACTGAAGACGAGCCTCTCTGCTTAAGGTGCAAACGTGGATTAATTTATGCTCACATCAACAAAAACCTATTCGACACTTGTCCATTTCCAATAATTTAATTTAACAAATGAGGGTATTTGCATACTGACTTTGTAATGTGTTTTAATGTCAGATTAAAACAGAAGAAAAAAAACAAACTAATGTGAGTGTGTTGTTTCAGTGTTTCACCACCAGAGGGCCCTGTGTGCTCACTCCACCACGGGCTCAAACTGGAGAGGGCTACAGGTGCAGTAATAGATGGTGGAAACACTCTGCTGCTGTAATCTCTGACTTCTCCAAGCGTCAGGTTTATTGCAGTATACGCCGTAATCTGCACCGTCATGGGGTGCTGTCCGTGATGCTGACAGGGCACCAGGGCCTGCTGGTTATTACGTTTCCCTCTTGTAGCCCCTAATACGCACAGACAGGCTGTATGAGGGGGGGAAAGGCGAGAGGATTTTTTTGGTTGTACGAGCACAACAAAAAAAACAGGGCACATACACAAACCAGAGGGCTGAAATAGACACCCAGATGAACTGATTGTAGGTGTGTTGAGCACAAAGGGGAAACATCCCGACATCAGCAGCTGAATGGGAAGCCGCTGGGGGCCAGGTGAGTGCTAAGGGGTTGAGAAACTGAGCCGCAGGGGTCATTGCGCGGTGCAGGGGGGGGGGGGGGGATATGCTGTCCGAGTAAATTACAGAGGTGTGCCATGGGGGCTGGGGATTGGTTTTTCCTCACATGTTGTGCACAGGACAAAGCAAACGGGAGCAGCCGAACCATTTGTTCCATGTTGGAAACGTCTCAAAGACTCCTGAGGGGTGGGAAAGCTGTGAAAAGAGAGGCCAACACGGCTGACATTCTGCCAGTATCACCTTGGATGTGGCAGGTTTAGCTGAGAACAGAGACACAAAGCGTGACATCTTGTAGTCCGTGTATCTTACGTTAAGGACTTTAGCATCGCAGGAGGAAAACAGGCTCATAAACAAGATCTGTCATCATACTCGAGGAGATTAAAAACAGACGCTTGACATAAAAGTTAGGCTACAGACACGGGGATAAGTAAGTGTTTCCGCTGGTTTTAAATGGTGGCCTTTAATCATTTATAAGTCTGCTTATTTATTCTATATATGCTGACTGTAAGATATAGCCTGCTAATGATCTGAGATTGTTAAACCCATCATTATGAGGCATTACCAGCTAGGGCTGCCACCCTTTTTCAAGATTGATCAAATTAAAACTAGGATGTCTCGAACGCAACTCATATCCATGCATAGGGAGTCTTAGCAAGCGTTGTCTCATAGGCATGCGTGGCCAACTGTGGTGAGTTTGTCGCTATATATAGTTCGGTACTGCATGCCTGGCATCTACTCCTCTCTTGTGCCGTGCATGAAGTCTTTGACACAGCATTTAAACTTCCACTGAAGTCAATTAATCAACTAAGAGAGAGAAGAATTAGGAAAAACAACTGTGGATTGTAACCCAGGCCCTTTACAGTGAATGAGCAGCTCTTTAAAGCACTAAGCACGATTTAAACCTTTCTTATTAGTCTTAAGTGCCAATTATAGAGAAGCAGTGATGGCTGGAGCGGCTGCCAATAGATTTCATAGGCCATCTTCACTTCTACTTCTACTCCCTGTGGTATACAGTGAGCTGATGTAATATTACACCATTTCCAGGTAAAAATACAGAGAGCAATTCCTCACTGCCTTTCGGGGTTGCTAGATCCCAGGGTTGCTCGGTGCAGCTGTAGGGCAGGGCGGGGCAGGCGTCAGTGGAGTTTGTAGAGTAAAAACCGTTGCTACTTTTAAGTCGAAAAACAAGCCTAAAGCCCCTCTCGTGGCCCCAAGAGGGTGAAATGTTCCTCACACCTTACAGGTAAAAAATATACTGGATCCCGCTCTTCTCAGAGCCTTGTCAGTGGATCTTAATGTAAATGTTAAAGGGTAATTCTGGTTCATTACAACTTGGGTGTTCATGTTAATTTTGCCACTTGATCTTAATTTGATTGATATTTATCGTCACATTTCTCGCCATCAAAGGTTACTTTATAGTTAGTCCCTTTTTTGTGGAGAAAAAATGTTGTCGACAAATAGTTCACGAAATGAACACTGATACAACGTCATCTGCATTGACCAATCGGAGACGTTTAAGTGCACATTTTTGGTACATTGCTTGTCACAAGAGTTGTAAAATCCATCATAGTAAAATAATCCACTGTTCAGCATCTTTTCATTTGATAAGCCTTCAAAACTCATGGACCCGTCTGTTCTTCCTGGACTGTATTTCAACGTCTCACTAATACTGAAACCATATAATACTGTTTTCAGTCTTAATCACTGTTTAGCAGTTTTTATATTAAACTTAAAGTGATGTGGGCATTGAATAACAATAACTGAATCTGAGACATACAGATGTATTTCATCAAATGCCAATGTACATTTGAGCGAGGACCTATACAGTTTCATTCTGACACCAGAACTACTGACACAAGAAGCTGAGCCTTTGGTGGGCTGTTAATCCAAACTACTGCATCATCCCGAACGCTCCTCTCAGTCTTGCTTGAAGGGATTTCTGACTCTGAGGACTGCTGTGTTTACAGTTCAGACAAAGAGGATTGTCGACCTTGTCTGGTTTTCTGTTTTCTTTTTCTTTTGGGCAAGTGAGGCTGTGAAGGGAACTAATAAAACTCTGGCAGCCTGTGCCACCCTATCTCCTCTCTCTGCCAGCCATGTTGGCGCACGCCAGCAGCAGAAGGTGCGACTTTGCTGTCCGCGCGTTTGACAAGCGGACAGGGAAGGGAGCGCCCTGTGAGCGGTGACGGGAGCCCGGCTGATGGACAGAGGTGTTAACCCCGTCGTCGGGCAGGGGGGGAGATAGTGCCGTGGTTTGTTTACACACACTGAGGCCGGACTGTCACCTTGTCTGTCAGAGAATCATCCTATCTGCCTCCTCTTATCTCGCCCGCGAGACAACCTACTCTCTTCTAGAGACCCGCTGCAGCTCCACATCACCATAAATCATCTCCCTCAGCCATACCATTGTTGCTGTTTATGTAATTTTTTTCCCTTCACACCTCAAGATATGCTCCTTCTCTGTCCTCAGCTGGCTTTCACTCAGACGCACTCTCTCTCTTTTGTACTGCTCGAGGGTGACCCTGTGTCCCAATACGCCTGCGAGGCACTGAAGTGAATACATTTCCATTAAAACCTCTATGTGAGATGAAAACTGATCACGACGATACTGGGTCATAAGCGTCTTTTTGGCCCTTTATTAGGGAATGTGCAGCCTTAACCCATGTTTTAAATGTCATTTTGCTATTAAATTGTGCTGATTGTTAATCTCTATGAAGTATTTAGACTGTTTTAAATGATGTGTGTCGCACATCAGCAAAGTGGAGAACTGAAGTTTGAAATGTGGCTTTTTTTCTCCACAAAATAAACCGATGCACCAATGCACTTACAAATACGACAGGCAGGTTGAAATGAATTAAAATAAAGCCCCGGCACACCAGGGTAAATGAAGCGCACACTGAGCCAGAAGAGTTTAAAGAGCCCGAGGACATGAAGAGGCAGTGTGGATGTGCTGTTGTGGTGATGGACAGTTATTCTCGATATACATTTCAAGGACTGAGTGGGCGACACCAACAGAAAGAGAGAGAGAGAGGGGAATAGAGGAGTCCTGGGAGCTGAACATTTTCATAAATTGATGGCTGCTATCGTAGGAAGCCTAAGTGGAGAAACAAATTGATGAGAAGGGCGGATGAGGATGTCGTAAAGAGCCAAGGCTTGTCTGTCTCTTATTCTCTCGTTAAAACGAAAGAGATAAAATGTTATCAAGCGCAGAGTGGGACTTCCTATTTAGAATTAAATAAGACGAATCTGTACACGCCGCGGTGTCAGACAGATAAGATGTAAACAGCAGATAGGGAGCAGAGGAGAAGAAGAGTTGCTGGTGAGGTCGTGGCGTAGTGGCCAGTTGGAGAAGCTGTAAATGCTCAATGAGTGCACATGGCTGCGCGTGTGTATTTTTGTACACATGGTTTTTGCACAGCATGCCCATAAATTACTAGCAGCCAGCGTATAGTAGGAGGCTGTTGATTGAAAAACATGTCTGAGCATGAACAAAGTGAGTGCAAGACAGACAGAGCTGTATATCTTGTCAAGTGACAGAGAAAGAAAAATCAATTTTATATCTCTTCTTAAACGTGAAGTGAATCTGTATTGATTGTCGTTGGTAAAAGTGGGGCAATGAAACAGCCAATAGTTCAGAATAGAGAACAGAAAGAAAAGACGAGCGGGACGTCTAGCAGGTGTAATGTTTAGTACCATCCAGGTATTCACCATCCTAGTTTAGCATGTTAGCATGTAAACACACAGTAGGCCTACAGCACAATGTTTTCGAGACAAGTGAAAATTGGCGCTATAGAAAAGTCAGTGAATCACATCATTAACTGTTGAGATATTTCAGTCTCAGGCCGAAACGGTGGGCCGACTGACTTGTCTGTGTGCCGATGTTAGCTATAGTTAGCTAGCAACATGCGTACGTCGCTAGTGTGCCATGTTTCTGTGAAAGCTTAAACTCTGACTTATCTCAAGACTTACAGGAGCCTCAGTTTTTTTTTTGTCATTTCCCTTAAGAACCCTCTCCTTTTCTTCTCCATGAATTGATGTCATAACATCTCAGAAATGAAACAATAGGCAAAAAGTCAGAGACCCACTATTCTCTTAAACTGCACATGCGACATCATACAGCTTTTGTAGTAGATTCATAAGCACCAGAGCTGTTTTGAATTTAAATAAAAACCCAAGAGCAATAGTCTTACAGGTGGGATGTTTGTCTTCCTCATAATCTTCTCTTCATCTTTATAAACTCCCAGACTTCCTT